CTCCCTCCCTCCCTCCCTCCCTCCCTCTCCCTCTCCCTCTCTCTCTCTCTCTCTCGGCCAAACCGAGAGAAATCTGAAAATTTTTATTAAATCAAGAAAATTTTAATTAATTAAAAATTTTGTTAAAATTAATTAAAATTTTAACAAAATTGGCATAGCTGAGACACGAATCATTCTAAATTTCTTTAGTCGAGATTCCAACCGAAATATTTCAAATCTGTGCTAACTTAGTCAAAAATGATTCGAATCTTGGCCAACCGAAAAATTATTTGTATAAATAATTTTTTTCAATTTTTTACATGTCTTGATTAAACATTTTATTATTTATACTAATAATTTTAGATATTTGACTTCATATTCATTATCAGCAAACCAAAAATGCCGATATTTTTTACTCAATTTTATTTCTTATGCATTTCTGTTGCACTTGTTGATGACAAGAGTGAGGAATGCTATAAACTGCCCATGAAACTCAAAGTGGATCAAAATGAAAAAATATGATCTAAATATTTTTTGTACTTCTATATTTATGTCAAATTAAAAGAATTCGGAGTGTAACTTTTGGGTAAGTTTACTTGTGAGAAAAAATACTTGAAAATTTATTTGTAGGATACAAAGTTTATTTCTCTGAATAAACTTTACACACTCCACAAAATTTTCAAATATTTCTTTCTCGATGTAGTAAGATAACTTTTATCCTATATAACATCTTCATTGTATGCTGTATATTGCTTGATATGCAATCTATTCGAAATAACCCTGCAGAAGACAGAGGGAAAGAGACGAATCCCAGAAACGTGCAGAAAGTATAATACAAATTAATATCACCGATTAATTAGCCGTCAATATCTTGTCCCTGTTCTCTCGTCGATTGCTGCGTCGTTTCGGAATCAACATTCTGTCGCCATCCACTTCTCCGTTCGGGCACGAATCGATCCGAGAAACACAGTCAATCGCGATTCCGCGTGTAATTAACAATCACTCAATTGCGCGCTCGTTGCGAACGCGTCATTAGCTGCATTCAGTAGAAAAGGCGCTTAATGATTATTGCTGTGATTGGAATACTTTTTTAGATTTTTCATAGATCTAGGAGTATTTCCAATTAGACCAATCAGAAGCGATAATCATTAGGTGCTCCCTGAGCCGCTCTTTCCTCTGAGGTGCGAGTCGGCGGCGCGCGATTGACGACTCGCGCACCGAACGATATCTCGAACATGTCGTCAAATCGAATAGAATTAACGTCAAGACGATCATCCGCAGATTGCTGTCGCCAAGCAGTTCGCCGGCCACCTCGCCCACGATGTCGAATTCTTCGTCGCCAACACCACCGACGCCGGCGGCCCCAGCTTACAACCAGAAGATGACCGGTATTCCTTGCGTAGCGGCCGCTTCGAGGTACACCGCGCCGGTCCACATCGACGTCGGCGGAACGATATACACATCCTCCCTCGAGACCTTAACCAAGTAAGAATGCGTTGCGCGCGCCTCGAGATCCCTAACGGTTCAGGATAAGTCGAGAGTGAGATAATCTCGCGCTTATCCACGATACGATACGCTTCGCGTAGGCCCAACGTCGTAGGTCGATGCGATTGCGACGCGTTAAATGCAAATGTTAAGTTGATGCAAAGTTCTTTTATAGGACGCAAAACCAAAATAGTAGACTAATTATACACTAAAAAGAAATATTTGCACAATTATTTGTGTGTGGGATATGAAGTTTTTAAACAAAAATAAATCTGATTTCACGGAAATATTAATTTTATTTAACAAATATATATATTTTTTTAAGCTCAAGTAATCTTAAATCAACTATAAAACTAATAAGAGCCGATGCAAAGTGGTTAATGCAATAATGTGGATATATTTAAAGAAATATTAATTTTACATAAATGAAAATTTAAGAAAGAAAGAAAAAGAAAATTTCTTTTAATTTTTTTATTTATCTGTGATAAAATTAAAATTCTTTTAATTATATCCATTATTGCACATCTTGTATCAGCTCTTATTTCCTTTATAATTACACTGATTTAAATCTTATTTCACAGAAATAGACTTTAAAATGTGTGACTTTATATCCCACAAATAAATTTTTAAGTATTTTTTTTCAATATAAATTGATACAATTAAATTTTCAATTAAATTGATACAAAAAATTTGTCTGTTAAGAAAGTTATTTGTCATAAAATGCGGACAACGAAATTATCCAATTTTAAGGGATTATCAAATTTCGAAGGATTTTATTCATGTTTACGGATATAATGAACAATATCGAATGAATATCTTTTTTAGACATTTATGAGAACTTTCTATTTTTTTTTTTTTTTAATATCCAAACCTTGAGAATTTAAGAGAAAAATAATGAACCTTTTAGACAAATTTAATAGACCTGGTAAACACCAAGTTCATATATTGTAACGTTATATCATTGTTGTAATTTTCTTCTCATCATACATAACGTTGAAATAACATTCCTGTGTTACTTGATGTTTACTCAAAATAATTCAGACTAACATAAGATACTGTCAGAATAATTCAGCCTGACATAAGATGCAATTACAATTATTCAAAATTTTACTATTGATATATTAATATTATATTATTGATATTTTAATAGATTTTTGCAATTTTTTTTACAAAAAGAAGCTCTAAACGCGCTTGAAAAAAGTCGTAATATTAAAAAAATGATAAGAGCAATCGAATATTGCGTTGATCGACATACAAAATAATAATCTAATTATTCTTTTCCAAGAAATTTCAAGCTGTGATGAAAACGCTACTATTTTTGCAAGTGATGGTCCTTGAGACATCTCTCTTTTCTTTTGTTATCTTTTGTTGCTTGAGGACTCTTAGGCGATTTTTTAATAGTGATTTAAATTTAACTTTAAGTTTGACTCTTGTTCTAACAGTGTGTGTTTGAGCAATATGTTTGAACAGAGTTGAAATTGGAAACTAGATTTAAACTACTATCGAAAAACCAGCCGTTATTGATTAATCTTTGGCATTAGATTGCACATGCAAGATAATCTGAGAAACATTGTCCGGTTCTAATTATTTATGTCTAAAGACATAATCTGACATAAGGGTTAGGAAAAATAAGATGCTCGATGTTCACGTTTACCTCGGAATCGCGAATGAGTATCTCCCGCAGTAGACACGTTCTTCCGCGAGTGCGACTTCTAAAACGGCATACAGAAACCTCCAGCTAGCAGTGAGAGAGTAGAAAGGGAGCGTGATGTCCGGATCGCGGAAACGTGACCATCGACAACGCTCCAGGATGCTCGTACCGGGCAATATCTCTGAGAACATCGCTCGCAATCAGGCACACCGTTACCGTGCCCGGCAGTGTCCAAAGGCTATTTGCGGTGCGCCCCGTGCACTTTATGCATAAAAGAGACGTAACGTGAAAGCACAACTGCACTTTGCTTATAGAGAGGGTTTTAATCTTCTCGAAGTATCACCCCGCAGGTATCCTCTTTGCCGCGGCAAAAAAGCCCCGCCGTAGTCCGTGAGGCTCCGGCTGATATTAAATCGACAACGCTCGCCCGCCGAGATCATCGCCGTCGAGTGAATCTAATAATACAAACGTAATTAGAGAGATCGGTTTTATAATATATAATTGTAATTGCGTACGTACCTCACAGTCGACGCGCGATACAATTCAACCCAGACAGAAATTTTCCAAGATCCTCTTGCACGCAGCAATAAATTCCAATCTGAAATTTGCGCCAAAGTGGATTATTCTACTGCAATTTTATTTACGCATTTAGAGCCCGTTGAAAGAGACACGCCTCTTTTCGTCGAACAATATGCAAAGATCTAATAAAGTTTTGAATTGTTCTGATTGTACTTTATGTCTATTTAAATTGTTTTGATTGTATCGTATGGCAGTCTGAATTATTCTCAGTAAATAGTAACCAACAGTAATATTACGTCAGTGTTGTAATTTCCCATTTAACAATGTAATTGCAATACAACATATACTGTGTGTAACAGTTGCATTGATAAGCAGGAAATTTCAGTATCCCGTTTGGAAATTACGATAATAATTGAACATTTCATTCTCATCTCATACATAACTAAGAGAAATTTCTCTACTCAGAATCGAAGAAAAAACATACATTGAAAGAAAAAATATCTAAAGAATACTAAATATTTATTTGGGGTGAGAGAACTGATAACATATTTACTTAAATCTAGATTCTTTTAAATATAGAATGAACAAATACTTTCATAAGAAGTTAAAGGATTTTCTTAAGGTTTTAAGGAAATGTATAAGGTAAAAGTACCAATGCTTGGACACATACTAAGTATATATCTAATTTTGGACATTTTTGTTGTTTTGATTTTAAATATATCAACTTTAAATATGAATTTTTAATCTTCAAATATAAAATATATATATATATATATATATATATATATATATATATATATATATATATATATATATTCTATAATAAAAATTTGAATATTTTAATATTTTAAAATTAAAATAACAAGTATGTCCAGAATTAAGTACATGATAGGTATGTGTCCAGGCATTGGTACTTTTACCTTACTTTCTTATTTGAAAATATTTTATATTGGCATAAGTAAATCTGTTATTAGAGTGTAAACAGTAAATATATAAATATTTACTATTTTTTAGATATTTTTTTCTTAATGTAGTAGAAATTTGCTTTCAGATCAAAAATATTTTTTCACGTCAATTATTAAATTCAATAAGACAAAAGTTGTAATTACTCATGTGGATTGCAATATTGTCCAATAATAGCAGATTTAATAAGACTAAAATTTAAAGAAAATGGATTCCTTCGATTAAAGGTTATGAAAGAGTATAAATTGTTAGAAAATCAATTTCAAGCAAATTCTTATATAATCGTTTTTAGATTATATAAACATTAATAGTTCTAAATTTTTATTTATTGGCATAATGAAAATAAGATGAATGTTCTTTTCTCGACTTTAAGTACCTCGAATTTAAACGAAATATAACTTATTTTCATTTAATATGGTAACGGAAAAATTCCAAACTCAGAATGATTTCAGACTCATAAATCTTTAAGAGAACATCGCGGAAAGCAAATGAGATACGTTTGGATTTTCCATTTAGAGTCGTTTCTTCAAGACATTACGTTTTTGACCTAAGTTCACCTAGATCCTCCAAGCAAAATCCATGATTTTTTTAGAAGATGGGACTGGATCCCGATTAGATCCCGAGAGAAACGTTCTATATAGGGAACGTCGCTCTCCAGTTCCTATCTACTTCGAGGATCTTAATCTTGTCAAAAGTTCCCGAAAGAAATGCATTCTTCATCATTCTGTTGCTCGAGCAAGCACAGATCTCTCCGCCTCTCTCTTTCTTCCTCTCTTTATCGCGGACCATTAATTAGTCGCGCTTGCACAAAGATCAGATCCTCGAGCTGATATCGGTCGCTACAGCGCGGCATGTTTTAGCAGTTACCAAACGTACTACGGCTAAATGTCACCGCAGCCTCTCGTGATCATCGCGACTCTCGTTACACCAGCTTGGCGTGCTAGTCTTCGACATGAGCGAATATCTAGCGCACACGGAGGCGAGGAAAATCGTTCCTTTCACAAGGAGATCATGGATGCACGGCATCCCGCATCTCCGTGCCGCGATGGATGCGTTCGTGAGAAAGCTGATCATAATTGACAGGTGGCCTTATCGTTTCCCTTCTTCCTCCCCCTCCCGGTTGACTGTCTCGTTAACTGAATAGGCAATGAGTTTCGATTCGCCACGCGAAGAGATGTTTCTATCTGGACTGACCTAATGAGCGAGAGAGAAAAGCGTAATGGATACTCCCGCTATATTTTGCCTGGAATACCGGCTTTGTCGGCATTGTCGATAGTTTAAACGAGAACAAAGCGCGAGAAGGAACTTTCGAGACGGCGAACATTTTCATTTTGCCGCGGCAGATCGACCTTTAATTCGCCAGTCATCTCGACTTAACCCGTTAAGTCTCATCGCGATAAGATGCAAATCGCTCCAATATATAGAAAAAAGAGAAGTAATCGCTTGGAGCTAATGCACTCAGATTAACAGTTATTGTTTCATATAATTTTGCTAGAAAAATTTTAAAGTCTCGAACAATTTCGACAATGTTATGATTTTATTTGAATATTATAATAGTCTTGTAAAAAGTACAATATGATCGTTTTGATGATAATAATATCTTCTTTTAACATATTTAAAAACTTAAAAATATTCTCAATTAAATATTTTATGTTTTTTATTCAGGAAAATTATTTTTGAGAAAATAATCGAAATATAAAGATATCTTCAAGACAGGAATGTTTTTTCTTCTATGCACAGAAAAATGCATGCTGCATTCAACGAAACGTTACTTGTTTCAAATATTTTTTGAGTTTGTATGTCCACAAATCTATTATAAGTTTATCTCACAAAATATTAAATTTACTCAAAGTACATTTTGAATCCT